TTGTTTGGCAAAATTCTGTGTAGTCAAAAGGTTTTGCCTAACTTTATGGTTCTACAGAAGAATACTAAGGATATCATGGACTGAGCATGTTAGCAATGATGAGGTTTTAGACAGGATGCAAACAAGGAGGAAGATTATACTTAACATCAGAAAGAGGCAGATGAAATTTATGGGACACATATAATAAGAAAGGAGGGCCTGGAGATTCTGATACTCACAGGTCGAATAGAAAGAAAGAGAGACAAAGGAAAGCAACACATGACATACCTGGCAGGCTTAAGAAAGTGGATGATGACAGAACATGGTCTGAGGGAGGTGGCAGAGGGACGGAACTAACCCCTGCCAAGATCTACAAGGGATAGGGGGAAGTGGAGAGCCATGATCGCTTACGTCCTGAAGGGACACGGCACATAAAAAGAAAGAATTATTAAATATTTGTCAACTTGAAAGCAATAAAGGAAGCCAACTCACTACACTACTGTTTTTAGCTACCAACGAGATTCCTCAGTCATTAGTAATGACGTTATTTTAATTTTATACAAGTACTTGGAAATAAGTACACATGTCTTTGGGAATGTGGAAATATTTCTTAAGACAACTTTCAGAAGAAAAAAATGTGAAGATCTTTTTCCTGACAGCAATTAATATCAAAAACCGTTTTGTTTTTTAGTTTTTTTCTTTTTTTCTTTCTTTTTTTTCTTTTTTTTTTTTCCTTTTTTTTTTTTTTTTTTTTTTTTTTTTTTTTTTTTTTCTTTTTTTTTTTTTTTTTTTTTTTTTTTCCTTTTTTTTTCCAAAGCGTTATCATTTATTTGACCGAATAATTGGAACTTTGAAGTGTCTTTTGGCTTTCACTGTCTCTCTTCCTCACGTTCCTTAAAGAAGGCATTAATATTCTATGCGAAATATTCTCCTTACACACACGTTTATTAATGATCACAGGTCGACAGTATTTTAACTTTTATTTCCACTTGAAAATATAAAAAATAAATTTAGTCTACATAACTAGCAACGCTATGTCAGTAACTGTATAAAACTACTTTCTCCACGGCAAAAGAAAAAAGGAAAAAAAATTTTTTCAAGACCGAAGGAACATATTGTTAATTTTTTGTAAAAGTAAAACGATAATTCTTAGCACCTTTTGACTTTGTTGAACTTCAGGAGAACTCATTATCACCGATTCTACTGAAGTTCTCAACCAGACCCACTTGCCAAAATCTGGCTACAACAGTTACAATAATCAGTTAAAAAAAACAACACTAACAGAATTTTGTTGGATGAGTAGGGACTTCTTGTCGGGACGAGAACTTTTCAGCACCGCTGTATACCAGTGTAGACACAGATAGTCCATGCATGCAAATGGATAATAAAACTTAAAATTATGAAAGAAATTACTAAGATAAACTTTTTTTTTACTATTTCACTCTCCTCAATAAACGATAAAAAATATCAGGTCTTATGGATTATTTAAAGTGAAATTGAGGATTTTTTTAAGCCATCAGAAGTGCTGTCTGACGTAAGAAAACATAGTGCTTTCCTTTTTTTAGCATTACTGTTGTAAATGTTGGGGAATAATTTGATACATTGGCGATGAATGACTTTGCACTTTGATCAAGCTAATCTAGATTCTCGTTAAACTGCTAAAGTTCGCCTTACACCACACACTCGATTTTTTCTTCTTCTCTGTATCTTCTTTATCTGATGAAACCAAAGAAATTAATCCCGTAAAGAAATAAATAAATAAAAGAACACGAAACGTGTGTGTACTTTACTTTGTTTATTGTTTTTGGTTCGCTTGTTTTTAAACTAAACACTTGTAATGTAGATATTCTCACGTGCAGATTGAAGTCTCAACACTACACTGCTGAATTGAATGTAGAAAGGCGTGCGCACATTTTTCAGTCAGTCACATGTGCTGCCGCCACTGTCTCTCTTTTTGTTACCTTAATTTTCATGCACGTAAACAACACTTTGAATATAGGTGTGACTACAGACTTGTCAATAAACATTGTAAAGAAAACGTATTGCAATAATTTAAAAAAGAGGTTCTGTTTAACTGTTTTTTTTTTGTTTTTTTTTTTGTAAAGAAACGTACACTGACGTGCATACCCCACTCACACTAGCACACAAAAGATGTTTTGCTTCGCATCGCACTCACATTGATGCATTTTTGCTTAAATTTGAAGATGATAAAAATGACATAAAAAAAAATAACACTCAGCAGGCGCGTGTACACTACACTGACACAGGAACATAGACACACAACTGTGCACTATGCTGCACATTAATTTTCTTTTTTTACTAAGTTCAATTTAAAAAAAAAAAAAAAAAAGAAGTCCACCTGGCCCACTTTTAGAACTAAGTGGTCAGTGAAATTCCTTTTACGGAGAGGGAAAAAGGCCTGGCCTCTCGACGTGACATTGCGTTCGTTCATTACTCATTTAAAAAAAAAAGGAAGTCCGATTCCATGCCAGGTCAAAAGAATGGTATTAAGCATAAGCTGCTTAAATAAATAATAATAGTTATGATATTTCACTCCCAATAAACCAAAGTGATTTAAAAATATATTACTTACAACTACCCACCCATACTCTTGTCTTCTAGATGACAGCACTGTTAACAACACGTCTCACCTGTTGTGTACGTGTGGAAACATGATGTTATTGTTATTTACATTATACACACTAGTGCAACACACATGATAAAGCAAGCATTGCTCATGTATATACACCCACACATTATGCGTACACACAGACTTGCATTTTCTCTCTCACACACACTGTTTTTCTATCTATCTCTAGCTTGCGTACACCACACACACACACACACACACACACCTTATCTTTTTACATCACTTTCCTCAATGCCAACTCTTTCTTTCTTTCTCTCTTCTTTTTCCCTTCCTCATCTCTCCAACTAGTTCCTCCTTCTCTGTCAGTCAGCTTCAGCTCCAGCTCATCCCCACCCCTGCTTTCTTTGGCATATGGCAGCGGACTGCATTTCGTTCAGGAGGTAGAACAAGTGTGCGTCTGTTTACCACAGTTTCCCTGCAGTACAGTGAGTGCACGACTCCTACAAGTACACTGCCTTTTGTGGGTACTGTGTGCTATACCATGATGGTGATGATGTGTCATAGACATAAAACTAAAAGAGAGAAGGCCTGGCCACAGTTTGCCCTGACTGTCGTTGTGGTTGGGGTGTTCTTACCACTTCCCATTTTACGGTCACATTATACAACTAGGATAACGGACTGCTGCTAGGGTCTCCTCTCTTCCTTACGGCTTCCCTCCTTCTCCCCAAAAAATTTTTTAAAATAATGCCAACGTTAAAAAAAATAAAGACTTATTAAAAGAAATTATTGACACTTGTGTGTGTATATATATATATATATATATAGTGTGTGTGTGACTAACATCAAACCACCAACAACATCTCAGCACAGAATTAGAAATAGAAGTATCTGCAACTACAAGCCAAGCAAGAAACATACAAGAGTGAATGCTTTTCCTTTGAAAGATTTGATAAAACAACTAGAAATCTACTACTCTCTCTCTCTCTCTTTACTTACTCCCTCCTTTTTAACTATTGGTTTACCCTCCACCTCTCACAAAATTTTCTGTCACTCTCACTATCTATCTGTCTTTGCACCCACCCAACCATCTCCTCTCTTCTCCTCCTTCCTCTCTGCCTTCCCTCTCTCATCTTCTTGAGATTTGAAGTAGAAGCATCGGGCTCTGTCCTACACATGCTGCTTGACTTTATAGCCTTGAAGAAGAAGAAAAAGAAGAAGAAAAAAAAATAAATCCACACACACACATTACTTCCTGGATTATTACCAACCTCTTCAAGACTACCATTTTATTTCCAACTCTTATGTCTTTCTGTTGTTATTATTCTTGATACTTATTATCTTGTTAAAATTATTATCGTCATCTCTGCTACTGTTACTTCTTTTATTATTACTATTATTGTTTTTCTAAAGAGAAAATGGTTTCTATCACCTGCCAAATGACTTGTGATATTGCAGTGGTTCTAAAATGTCATTTGAGTAAATTAGTCCAGTCATTTGGCTCCACAAGGAACGAAATCGCAGTTTGGATTCAACCATAGCAAACCTACTATCTTCCAAGATGTCATTGTTTGGGAATGTTGCCCTCTTGGAACCTATAAGCTGTTGAAATTTCATTTCAAAAAGAGCAAACTCAGTGCCAAAAAAAAACGAAAAAAAACAAAAAACAAAAACAAAAAAGTCACCTTTTACTTTTGTTATCGTCGTTGCCAGTGATCTTACCTTATTACACACCTTCTGATATATTTTCTCTTAATAGTTTTATTAGTTTCAAAATTGTTGTTTTGTTTTGTATTGTCTGTGAGTTGTTAAAATATTTAGTAAAAAAATATCATTCTGAAGATTTTTATCTTTTAATTCAAAATATATTTTAATCATTATTTTTCATGACTTAGATTTTTGTTTTTTTTTAATATGCCTATTATTGTTGCTTGGAATTTGAGAAATTAAAAAAAAAAAGAAAAACCTAAAAGAAAATAAGTCTGTGATATATTTTTTTTTTTTTTTTATAAAGAAAAAGAAAAAGCAAATTCTCTATTTCACCCAGTGTGCATCATTTTCTGGTCGGCTACTAATGTGTTTGTCCTTGGAGAGCTGCTAAAAATCTTAACAAACATACCAGAATGACTTGAAAGTAGAAAGTGCATGCCTCAATTGGCCATGTACATTTTTGTTTTTATTAATATCACATGATAAAAAGACAAACAAATATCTATCTCCTGTGATTGAATCAGACAAAATATTCAATTTTCACTATGTTGCAAATCAGTCGTCTTTATAGCAAAATACCTTGCTCCCTTTTCAACTCGGTCACTTGAGATGTTGTGTTACTAATGACCAGATTGCCTGGTCTCTTTTGGAGAGGAAACCATTGGGGCGTGTCCAGTGCACGGCCGTTCCACTTATCTAAATTGGTTTTCTTCCTTGTGCATGGATGAGCGGCCACAGGAGTAGAAGCCTGTTCCGCCGGCGCCACCCGAGCGGTAGCAGCGATCTGGACACCCTTACTGTTCCTGTGATTACTGTGAATATGCAGTACCTGTCACCTAACCATAATACCTCATCATCATCATCATCATCATCATCAGTCAGCCAGGGGAAAACACGTAACTGGCTGTCAAAACTTCGAAGAGAACCAAGAAATAAAAGCAAAAATTCTCTTTCTTCTTCTTCCAGACACTCAGAGGACTTGATTGTAACACCATTCGCCCAAATTTTGGCCAGTTTACGCAGTGTACGGAATAATTACCTAAATCTTACCAATGTCAACTTGCCAAAAGAAAGGTAAGTACCTGAAATTTCTATACTTTCTTCATATATATAACTGTTATATCTTTCTTGATTGCTTTGTGTTTCAGGTGTGCAATAAGTTTTTACTGGTTATTCTTGTGTTTAAATGACATATTTCCTACCCATTAATAAATACCAGAGGATTGTTGGCACCATAGAGTGTTGCAAGTGTGTATCTAAAGACATTGTATATTTGAGAGAATATACAAACCCCCATTTTGGGTCTTTCTCTCTGCATGAAATGTTCTGAGAGTCAAATAATGTGTATAAAGTGATATATCTATTAGACAAGTGTCATGCAGATAAACTCAAAAATGAACACCAGATTAATTTATCCTTCATTTACTGTGCTTTTTAGAGGAAATAATTTACAGAATCACTCATATAAATACTTGTGCACATATATATATAATTAATAACAATAATGAAATTATACCTGGAAAAGGAATGTGTGAAAATGACAAGAATTTAGCATGTTTTATCAGGTCAGCAAAACTTCTGCCAAAAAGAGCTCAATAGATAATTACACCTGTAATATTCAATATTTTTTTAATATTTATTACCTTCTCCTGAGTAATTAAATATTATTTCTGATTAATTGCATTCAAGTTAAAAGTTAAATTTTTTTCATCATTTAATTTTATATATATATATATATATATAGTTTGATTTTTTACTCACATTCTATCATGTTCTCTTAAACAGAACAGACAAGGAATGTCTGTTGAACTGTTGGTGAGTTTATTTTGGTGCCATATAAATCATTTAGTTCCTTTACAAGTTACCACCCAACATTAAATAACTTATTTACACTAGGAGAAAGTTATCAAAATGCTCTATAGACATTGTATGTTCTATTTAATAGAAAATGTTCAAAAAGAAAAGGCAAAAAACATATATATATATTCAGTTATGTGGATATGAGTGTTTGACCCAGGGCCTCATGCTTTTGTGACCATCAGACAAACTAAGTACTCCACATACAAAATAATATATATATATAGAGAGAGAGAGAGAGAGAGATTTATGTAAGCTATCAATTAATACATACAACAAAAAATATTTATGCATGCACACTTGATTGAATCACTCATATATATATAATTGGAATATATCAGAACAATTTTATGAAAAATCTTTCTCACCCTATAAGTTAAAAACTTTTTTGCAAATAAGTCAAAAGGAAAACTTACCTTTACCATCATGTTTCATTCTCTGATAAAGTTTTCACTTTTGTTTTTATTTATATTGTTTTTTTACAGATATATTTTATTTATATCTGGAGATAGATATACACACACACAGAGTTTTTTTCCTTAATCACAAAATATATAAATTAATAAAGTACTTCACTCTGGCATATTTTTTAACTATGCGTAAGAAATCAAATAAAACATTTCATAATGCCTAATCATCTTAAAATACCAATTTGTATGATTTTGTATGCACCTGTGTAGTAAGTAGATTATTTTCACAGTCAACACTACTAAAGCCATTATTCAATTAATAAAATATTAACCACATGAAAAGATCTATCTCATTTCTATGATTTATACTTTTGTCCACAGCTTTAGTTTTAATATTCACATTCATAAATGAGACAATTTTAATTTTTTTTTAATCTGAGTATATTTATGCAATAAAATAGACAAATTAGATGGGATTGGAGACCATATTTTTCTTCTTGGTTGGAAATTATCAACATTCAGGATAATTGTATATTTTACTTACCTTTCATGTGTCAAGTTTATTTTATATATATATATATATATATATATATATAGGAAAGGGATATAAATGAACAAGGTTAATATTAGAATGATGTATATCTGTAAATAAATATTTCTACATATTAAAACAGATGAATTTAGAAATGTGTAATCTTATTTGTGACTGCCAATGGATTTATATTGTTATATATTTATACACACATACACACACACATTTTTGTTAACATATTAGACACCTCTTTTCTTAAAACTTTTTATCTAAATATCACATTTGTCCAGGCTGGTGTTATGGATGGAAGGCCATGCACTGACAGCTGGGTCTGTACAGTTGGCAATAATACTACTAATAATAATGATAATAAATTACCCATGAAAAACGTACATCTGTCTGTATGTATGTATGCATGCATGTGTGGAAGGTACTTTTGAATAACATTCTTTTCAGCAATCATGATCTGAGAAACAAATGCCACTATTATGTGAATAAATATCGAAATCTTAGCAAAATCAACAATGGCTTATTTGTTAATCAAGTATTGATTACCTACAAGCATGTTTTGGGAACAGACTTACATCCGATATGTCATACAATGCCCTTCTGGATGTGTGGTCTATTTGTTTCTAGTATCCCTCACAGTATATATATATATAAAATCAGTTACTTATAAGTAAGACATATATGTTTTGAAACACAATGCTATATATATCACTATAAAATGACTACTATTGATATTTATACCTACATCTATTACATATTTTATCTATTATGATTTATGAGATATATAAATATAGATTCTGTGTATTTTTGTACACACGTGTTGATAATTATATTTTTGAATATTAATATGTATTCATTGAAAAAAATGTGTTAATGCAACTATAAAAATGTCATCATTCATTGTCTAAGTCCTTAACACGCACATGTGAGAAAAAGAAAGCAAATGTTTTTGTTCACTGAATCCTATTAAAGTGATTCGGGATTTGACATTTTGAATTTTACAAAAAATTAATTATCCCCCTACATGCACGTTAAATAAATTGAAATTTGTCTCCCTGCAGAGCTCTGAAATATGTCTAAAAATATTTCTTTCATAAGCCCAAGCATGAACGAAGGTACAAATCCTAGTAGACAGATCCTCAAACAGTCCAATATATTTGCTCACACTGAACTGCATACATTGTCAAATATTGAAGTCTCTAATTCTATTTGAAATATTTCATTAAAACAGAGAGGTTCAAGTTTCTAGTTAACAGTTTGGCTTTTTTCTATACCTTTTGAAAATAAAATAATTGCATTTTCAGTCAGGTAAAGGCAGTGGAAATTATTTTTAAAGGTACCTATCTCTTAAAGTAATTGCCATCTTAAACATGATCTCTAGTGAGCTGTTAGAAGCTATGAGAAGAAAAGGATTGCACTACAGTCAAAAGATTTTAATGTGTTACATATAATGAAAATCATCTTGAAATGGGTATGTATGCCTCAAATGGAAGGAGAGTTGTCACGTTTATAAATCTAACACTTTCCTATCCAGAAGCTTTCAGTCAACAATGATTGATGGATAGGTTGTTTTTGCACGTAGGCATCTCTCAATTCAATGATAGAGATGCATGCATAGTTAAGTATGTGTGTTTGTATGCACATGAATAGATATAAGTAGACTGATTGATTAATTTACCAGTACAAAGAAAAACATTCGTACAGCTAGAGATGGATTTTGTAAAAATTCATATATATGTAAGAGGCCATCATATGTGTAGTTTTATGTTCACATTCACATGAGGGTATTTTTTCTTCTCTTTCTCTCTAGTATAGCTAGTGTTGCTTCTCAAGAAAATGACTATGAACAATTTAAGAAGAACTACATGTTAATTGTATCATTACTTAAAAGTACCCATTCAAAAAACAGTGAAAATGAATAGGAGAAAATAGTAGTAAGATTATAAACCTCGTACTTTGTTTCGGTAACTGTAAATTTGTATTGTTTTTTTATTCCACTATTATTATATTTATATTATTGGCTTCAGAATATCACACACACACACACACACATATTGCTGGTATTATATATAGTGTATTACTTTCAAGATAAAATATGCACATTCCTACACATGTTTATTTATATAGATTTATACTATGTTTAAATTTTTAAAAGTCCTTGAAGCATTTACATTTTCAAGTATTTTTCTGTTTTTTTTTTTAAATTTTTTTATTGATTAGACATTAAAATTCCTTTTTTTAATTTTGTAGAATTCTTTTAAATTAGCTCATCAGCATTCAATTTAGCTAAAGTTTACTGGACAATCAATATCATGCAGGCCAAACCCTTATCCCAGGATGTGTGTGTGTATATATATATATATATATATATATATATATATATATATATATATATATATATAATATAATTACAAATAAATAAAATTAAAAAATACCCCATCTGATTTTTGGAATTTTATTTATTTTTTAATTTATTTTGATATGGTCTGTAATAAATACATTACAGTCTATTTGTGGATCAGTTTTAATATTTTACATTATTAGGATTCATTTTGATTACTTAAGCTTAGATTTTTACCTACCTGTGTGTGTGTGTGTGTGTGTATATATATACATATATATGTGTGTATATATATATATATATATATATATATATATATATATAGTGTGTGTGTGCATTTCATTGAATACGACAGACAAGGTGCTTTGATTTAGTTTTTTATACAATTTCTCATGTGATCTAATCATTTTTTCTTTTGAGATGATAAATTATATAAAAACTGTCCAAATGTTCTTTTAATCTGAGTGCTTTCCGCTATACATTTAGCCATTTTCAAGGATGAAATATTTTAACTGTGAAATAAGGAATACTTTGTTGTATGTATGTATTTATACAATGGTTTAATTTTTCAAAACACACTCAAGATATGTATATGAAATGTGCATAAAAGAAGGATTGCTGCCTAAATACACAAAAATATATATATTTATTTATTTTGAGAAAAATTTATGACAAAGTATAAAAAAGCTTTTGGGTGACATACAAAATGTTTCATGCAAAGACTTTTTCCCACTTTTACATACATTTTTTCCCCAACATTGTTCTTGAGATCTAAAAATTTATATGCCATTATTTAATATATATACACATACATACATATAAAAATAATAGAAGCATTAATGATAAAAAAGAAAAAACCAACACTCAATAATATCAACTATGAACACAGCCACACCATGCTGACAGTGTTTGTAAAACAAAGAAA